TGAACAGAAAACCTCAGAACTTTAAAGACAGTCAAGGAGTCTTGCAACCAGGCTATGAAAGCCAGTAAAAGCATGACTCCTAAGACCTCAGCAGGCAGTCCAGCCCCAGCCCATGACTGACTCGGTGCAGCCCAGAGTTGTCACAAGGGTGCACGGGTAACCCAGGACTCAGTGTGGCTGCAAATACCCATTCACATCTCCCTAGTGACTCAAGTGGACAGTCCCCTGGGTGACTCATTCTACAACACGAAGTCTAGGACCCTCAGCTACGTGACAGGAGGACTATATTCATTTCCTAGTGCTCTTGAGAACCAGGAGCTGGGACCAGCAGATGGCCTAATGGTTATGATGCTAGGCTCCCATCCAGGTTACCATAGTTCGAGTCCCAGACCTAAAGGCTTAAAATTTACACCAGGAATATGAGTGTGCACGTCCAAAATCCTGAGAGGAGAATGGAGAAGGGACTGTGGTATAGCCATCCCCCCCCGGGGGGGGTGACTTCTCGCTTTCTGTTTCTCTGTTTCTGTCTCTTCAGTGAGAGCATACACTGTATAGCAAAAAATGTAATAATAATAAACTCTAAAAAAAAAAAAAACTCTCAAATATTTTTTAAAAAGAGCCAGAGGGCTTTACATAAATAATGAGGGGATTTGGGGGATTTTATTAGGCTTAAGTTCCATATACATTGCCAAAGAGGAGCGTCTTTATTCTGCTGTTTGAATCCCTGAATAAATTCAGAATGAAGACAATGCCGAACGCAGGGCACTTGTTAAGAATACGGGAGCAGACACGCAGACATCTGATAAGGGGCTGTACCAGGTGATCTCTAAATATCCTTGCAGCCTGACATGCGATGAAAAATGCTACGGACCAGATTGGAGGCAGATAGAAAGCGAGATGAGAGGAGCGCAGCCGCATCTTAATCATTCGGCTCCGAAAGGCCCGCGCCCCCCACCGCACCCCCTGGATGGGAAGCGTGAATAAAGAAAACACGGTGCCTCGGTGCCTGATCCATTACTGGGGACTCCGGGGAAACTGACACCTGAAGTCAGGCGGCACTGGGATCCTGGAAGGCCTTCCCACGCTGCATTTTTTTAAAGACATTTTTGCCTTAGGGCACGTGCGTTTGGAGGAATTGAGGGAGACAGAGACTGAGAGGCAAAATGAGAAATCTCACACACACACACACACACACACACACACACCACCATCCCTTCTCCTCCATTCTCCTCTCAGGATCTCAGGCATGCATGCACACCACCTGGCATGATTTTCAAGCCACCGGGTCCAGGACTAGAACCACGGTGAGCCATGTGGGAGTCCAGCGACCTAACTACTATACTATCTGCTGATCCACAGCGCATATTTTAAAATGGGACAGAAAGGCAATCAGAGGGGGAGAGTCCTTGGGAAAGCTACAGTGGGAGTATTCCCCGCCAACTGCTTCTTGCTATCTACCCAAAGGGCTGACCCAGGCCTCGCCGGGAGCACCACCAACGCACTCTGCTTATTTATGGGACACGGTGCACATGGTTTTAATTATTCACGAAAGCGACTCATCACACGTGGGGATGTGCACGGAGTCCGTTCCCTCGACGGATGAAGCCTTAGTACTCAGAACTCTGCTGCCGGCTCGGCTGGTGAAGCCCGCGGAGCACATGCCTGGGCTGTGTGAGCCGCCGCCGCCTGGGCAGAGGGAGGACTAGCCAAATCCCGCTACAACGTCCCTGTGCAACTCTACCCGCCACGCGTGCTTCCAGAAAACAATTTAGAGTTCTCCATGCTCTCCTGGTAGGACAAAATGTGCAGAGACACCTTGCCTGACACCAGAGGGGTTTTGACCATTCAGTCATCGCACGATTTTCCTCGGATGAAGGCACTGTCTGTTCCCCTCCTTTTTTCTTAAACCAAAGAAAAAAAGAAAGAAAGAAAAAAGAAAGATTTTTGCTATGAGGCGCATGCACTTGCAGAAAAACAGAAAGTAAGAAATCATCCCCCAGGGCAATGGCCAGGCCACAATCCCATCTCCTCCATTTTCCTCTCAGGATTTTGGGCACGCATGCACATGCTCCTGGTATGAGTTTGAAGCAGCCGGGCCTGGGATTCAAACTAGGGTCGACTATGTGGGAGTCCTGCGATGTAACCATTACACCATCCGCGGGTCCATGTTCCCCTACTTCTTCAAGTCTCGTCAATAAACCTCCTTCCCTTCCATCCTCGCAGACCTCTTCTTGTTCACACAGAAGAGTGTCTGGATCCTCAGGAAGGCCACCTTGAATCACAGACCCAGACAGCGCCAGGAGGGCAGCTTTTCTCTGCATGATTTTCCTCGTGCTGGCTCCCGGGCTGGGCTTTGTTGTGACACCACAGGACACTCACCAGACCCTGTATCTCTCTCCATGGCTCCCCAGTTTCCCTGAGGGCACTTATTCTGGTGGCCAAAGGGACATTCTCTCCCACATGCCAGATTCACCCCACCTGGCAGCCATGCCGAGTACCTGGTATGGGAATGCTCGGCAAACACAGGTAGATATGAGCTCATATTCTGCCCCGGAGTCTGGAGCATCCCCTTGAGGGAGTTCGGTCTCATTATCCATGGGTTCCATATTTCAGAATGCGCCAATTCGCTGGAATTTATTTGCAACCCCTGGATTGATATTCATGGTACTTTCATGGGACACGCACACCATCCCCAAATTTGAGTCACCTTACATGCACATTTCCAGCTCAGTCTGAACAAGGAGACACATGCTACTTTCTATTTTCCTTTTAAAATCTAATTTGTTTTAATTGGCACATAAAAATACTATGTTATATATATATATACACACACACACACACACACATTTTTTCTTAAGAGAGATTTTTGCTATAGGGCGCATGTACTCGCCGGAGAGACACAGAAAGACAGAGAGAAAGCAAGAAATCACCCCTGGCGGATGGCCTCGACACAATCCCTTCTCCTCCATTTTCCTCTCGGCATCTTGTGCATGCCCGTGCATATACCCGATGTGAGTTTTAAGTCACCAGGCCCTGGCCGAGAACTGTGGTTGACTACATGGGAACCCAGCGACATAACCATTACACCACCTGCTGGTCCCCAAAACTGTTTATTTTTATTGTGTTCAACACCTTGTTTGCAAGTTCTCATTTCAGCTCTCCTCCTATAAACAAGTAAACTTCTAGTGGTCTAGTCCAGATCATCTTTTTCATATTTTAGTGCTTTTCCTTGGTGAGTTTGCTGTTTGAAACAGTTCCTGCGCACATTTCTGAAGTGCTTTCTAGTGTTCCTAAGCAAGGAACGGCTGTGTGTCTTACGGAGAAGAGAGCTGTGTTAGGTAAGCTACGCTGTGGGTCTGAGTTACACTGCTATGTCTGTGAGTCAACCCTATGTATTAAATAAAGTGTCTGTAAACAGAAACTCACACGAAACACGATAATGTATTGACAGAGTAATAAAAATGCTATGATCAGAGGTTCACAGGAACCCTACCTGTGACCCCCAGGAGCCATGGTCTTACATTTCCTAATCAGTATTCATGACGACTTTCTAGAATGAGTTACGGAAATGAGAATATACTGCCATGCCTACGTCTTTTCAGACGTCAACCCTACACTGAGCTTAGACCCATTAAAGGTCTTTCCTCCCTAGTTGCTCCAAAATAAACTTGATCTAAAAGCTTTCGCCAGAGTAGAGGCATTCTCTGCACAGCTGCCCACTTTCTACCTGAAACACTGGTCTTTCCTTCTTACCGAGCCCTGGTACGGAACTCAGCCGTCCTTCCTCTGAGACTAACAGGAACTGTCTGATAAATACCGAGGCGACTCTGGGGACTCTGAAAGCTGGGAGGCAAATGATGACCTGAGGCTGACTCGAGCCCAATCCCTTGCACTGTGGCAACCCTTTCACTAAATGCCAGAGCCAGAGAAATGAAGCGGAGGTCCATGGGGGTGACTCCATGCCCACTCTGCGGTAAGATGAAAAAGAATTCTATGAGGCCCTCTCCTTGGGATGAACGAGACCAGAAAGTCTCCCTAGGCCTACCCAGGGACCAAGGGAGAGACGAAGAGAAGGCACTAGGAGGCAGCTTGGAGCAGGGACAGGGAACCTCTCACCGCCTCCCAGAACCTCAGTATTCCTGTCTGTACGGTGAGGCCTTAACCTAGACTGTCGCTCTGTCCCTTCCAGCTCTCAGGCAGCCATTGGTGTCCCCACTCTCCAGGGGCCTCCGTGCTTTCTTCTAAAGCAGCAGATCATGACTTAGGGGCAGGAGCAGTGGCAGGGACAGGGGCATGCACTGGTGTTTCTGGGCCCAGACTGAACCTGGGGACATGGCAAGAAGGACCCTGTTGGATGGAAAGTCAAGCCATTGAAGCTCCAGGGACTGAGAGTGGACCTAGCTGGGCTCAGCAGAAATACAAAGAGAGGCTGGAACCAACGGGAGGTGAAAGATGAGGAGGGAACATGTACCCTGAGCCCTCTAGTCTATGGAGTGGGCGGCTCCTAGTGTCTACTGTGGTCCGATTTCGGGGCACTGGAGGGGCAGCTCGAGAGATGTTTCCATTCAAAGGTACTCACCGCCCTGTGTTCCCTTCCCCTCTCATGGAGGCCAGGGTGGAGGTCCTCATGACCTCTGGGGTTGTTATCCGGACAGAGTCAGTTACGTTTCCTAGTTACAGAGGCCAGGTCTACAGAGAAGACCAGCCTTACGTGTGTCCCCTGTTTTACTGGGAGCACTTTTCTCTGCCCAGGGTCTCAGGAACCCGAGTAAAGGAAAAAAGGGAACCAGACTCAGACCTGTACCCACCCCACCCCCCCCCGCCTTCCCAAAGGACTCTGCCCCAGTGGCATCTCTGCTCCCAGGCTATTCTCCAAGTTTCGAGACTAACAGGAAGGGTCTTTTAGAGAGTAGGAGGTTGGCAGGTGGCAGGTCACCTAGGAAGGTCTACCACCACCCTTTCCCTCCCCAGAGGGGACAGCTTTCCACTTCAGTACTTACACGTGTCTGGCTTGTGGCAGTTGTGTCCCTGACGGAAGTACTGGGGGTTCTCAATGACTGGGATGCGCGTCATACCAATGACCACCGTGTCGGGCCCGGCGTCCAGGGACGAGGGCGTGGTGATGCCGTGGTTGATGTGGTGCAGCGGGCTGGCTGAGTCCTCCTCGCCACTGATGACAGCCACAGGGCCTGCGAGGGCGATAAAGACACAGGCCCCAGGTGAAGTCATATCCAGCCAGCTCCCAGCCCCACCCACAACCCCACCACACACTATGTTTCCCGCTAGATTTTCAGAAAGAACAAAGTTCATTAGAAGAGTATTCCCGCAGGTGGTCTGAATGCTGCTTCCTGAGACTCACCCAGCCCTAACCGTAGAAATAACTACACAATAAAATTGCAATGACCATGACAGGAATTATTTTTGCTTCCACCCAAATGCAAATGAGTTGAAAAATATAAGAAAAAAAAAAAGCTTAAATAAGTTTCCTTTGTATTTGTAGCAATAACAGGATTAATAAAATAATAATAATGACTTGGCGGGAGTTTGCACTACTCCCCTTAAGACCTTTAAAAACCACAGGTGCTTGGGACCAGCAGTTAGCGTAATGGCTCTATCGCAGGACTCCCTTGTAGTCAACCACGGTTCAAGTCCTGGACCCAGTGGCTTAAACTCACGCCAGGAGCATGTGCGTGCATGCCCAAGATCCTGAGAGGAGAATGGATTGCAGCGTGGCCATCCCCGCTGGGGGGTGATTTCTTGCTCTCTGTCTCTCTCTGTCTTTTTGGCATGCGCATGTGCCCTGTAACAGAAATCTCTACCAAAAAAAAAAAAAAAACATAGGTGCCCAGTCTACTTTAGAGGTCTAAGGGTGCGACCCCAGCAACAGAATTATAAAGCTTTCTCTGGTGAGTCCCATGGACAGCCAGGATGGAGAACCTCTGATTAGGGGCTTAGAGGCCCCGAGCAGCTTCAACGCGGCCATCAGATTCCCGCAGCTATGGTGCTTTCACCAACCCTCCCTTGTCCGTGGGAGAAGCCCAGTGCACCTGGACCTGCCCTGAGCTGGGCTCGCCAGTGACAGTAATTAGGCCACATCACCTATTAGCCTCCTGGCAACTGAGCCAGCTGTCCCGCTCCAGAAAGATCCAGACTGTCCCAGTGGTAACAAAGAACATAATTCACATCTGCACTATTTTCCAATCCAAAGAAGAATTACGAATACTCAAAAAATAGCCCTTGACAAAGATCATGAATGTGGCGGTCTTGGTAGAATGACGACTCTGCTTGGCGGTGTCATTCTCCCATACACGCAAACGAAAGCTCCTGTAAAGAGAATTAGCTGTGACTGTTAGTACCTTCCTACGCCTGGCGTGTGAAATGGCTGCTGCACTATTTTCCAATCCAAAGAAGAATTACGAATACTCAAAAAATAGCCCTTGACAAAGATCATGAATGTGGCGGTCTTGGTAGAATGACGACTCTGCTTGGCGGTGTCATTCTCCCATACACGCAAACGAAAGCTCCTGTAAAGAGAATTAGCTGTGACTGTTAGTACCTTCCTACGCCTGGCGTGTGAAATGGCTGCTTCGCGAGACACACGGTCCCCAGACAAAGTGCCTGCTGCGACTCGGTTTTGCAGCTTGAACAATATTTCCACTGCAGAAATCCATTACATCTTACTGAAGTTTATGGAGAGAATATTTCCCATCGAATAGCAAGGGGAAGCACCAATGAGGCAGAACTAAATGGAAGGCGGGTAAACGCAAACTGAGGACCCTGATTTCCACTCCGTCAGCACAGACAAGCTTATTGCAACCTATGAAAAATGGCTGACTGTGTTTGGAAATCACGTGGAAAGCAGCAAGAGGGGGTTGTCCAAACACTCGCAATAACCACTTGACTTGCAACAAGAAGCCGGTTCCTGAAACACCTTGTAAACTTTCTGGAAAACATCACAGAGTTTTCCAGTTCAACAGGAAAAACTAATCATTAGTCTTTTTCTCTCTT